ACGTCCACAAGATGGATTGATGGGCACCAATTTGCAGGGCTTCAAAACTAAATACCCTTTCATGAAAGCATTAAAACAGTTATAAGTATGGCTTGTTAGGTTGCAACTGGAAGATCAACCCCGAATCCTTAAATCCCATGATGCACTGGTAGATGAGGCAGCCAGGGGGTGTCCCACTCCTTTTTTGCCTTTTCTGGGATCTACCGCCCCTTCCTTGTCCTACTGTGTAAAGCAGTATTTCAGGTGCACTGCAGAAGGGCACTGATGTGGGACTCGTCAGGGACTACTGATGCAGCAAGGGACTTCCTGTTCCTTCCATCCCTTCCCTGTGGCTGTTTCTGAGCTCACTTTCTCACCTCTGAAAGGCTGTGCTGGTCCCCTAATCTCTTTGTTTCCTCCTAATGCATGCATCTTTCTTGCTGCAGAGGAAGTTTTTCTCCATGGAGCACATTGTACTGCTGAGCCCGATGCTATTGATGTAGACACAAGGGCCCGCTCCTCGCACCGGAAACCTGGAACAGACGAACGATTGCAGTGACATCTGCTGACCTGGAGTAAACACTATAATACCTTCTCTTACAAGTAGTTGCTCGGTTAAATTGAGGTAGGTTAGAGCAGCCTTCCCTAAGCAGGCACCTGCTGGATATGTTGGGCTACCTCTCCCCTAATCTCTAAGCAGCCTGACTGAAGATGTGGGATGTGGGAAATTGTAGGGATTTGTCTCTCCCTTGTCTCATGTGATCAAGTGCCAGGCCTTCTCAGAGATCAAGGGAGGTCCAGACTATTTCCATCTCTAAGCCCCCAGCCCCCATTATAGCAAAGTGCAAAGAGATGGCAAAACTGTAATGTTTCGAACTACATTCAAAACTGTAATGTTTTGAATTTCAACATTTAACAAATTCATGCTTTCACAAAAAAACATTTTATGGTGCAATAATTTGCAACGAAGATCTTTTCTATTTACTAAGTGCTTGCCAAGCTTTTTTTGTGTAAATTCAAGAATTATTTCTGGGGGAGAAATGGCTTCTTGCAAGGTCACAGTTTACATTAGGCTTAACGAGGTCATTCCAACAATCTTGCCCCAGATCTGAGCAGTCCTAATTCCAGACCTGCTTCAGCACACAGAAATTTCAGGCCTGCTGTGAATGTAAGGCTTGGGCCAAATGGTCTTACTGGCCAATACACCCTGCAGTAGGCTTAAGGTTTTCCAGAATCCCAGGGAAAATGTTACACCAGGCCTAGGTTTACAAGGGAATTTTACTTGGTAAACTGAAGAACTTACAAGAATAGTGTGTTCCCAATCTGCAAGGCTCCTATCTGCTGGAATGAAGTGTCAGCAAAGCCTGCTGGTCTGAGTGAGATGTCTGAACAAAGGAGGCAGGGCTGGTTTATACAAATATTTTTAACAACCAGTAGGAAGATAATGGGTCACACCTGTGTTGCAGCTATAATGCCACGAAGTCTAACTCTAATGACACACAGGTTATAAATTAATGGCTTTTTTATGTTAAGTTAGTGGGACTGGATTGTGTCAGCTGCCTTGGGTTCCTTTTAAGAAAAAAAGGCAGGACAGAAAAACAATATATGTATTAATATAATGCACATAACTTCTTCAAATGGTTTTAAATTCTGTATGTTAATGTTCTTACATTACATCTCCACATTTCTTCTGAACTGGCCTGTGAACTTTGAGTATTGAGTGGTACAGCACTGTCCGGTGGATTAGGGCATGGTTGACTGACCGAAAGCAGAAGGTAACCATTAGTGAGGAATCATCAGGATGGCAGCCAGTGACAAGCGGGGTCCCCCAAGGCTCTGTCCTCGGGCCGATCCTGTTTAATCTTTTCATCAATGACATGGAAGAAGGGGTGAACAGTCTGCTGATCAAATTTGCAGACGATACTAAAACTGAAGCGGTGGCCACAACTGAGGAGCAGGTACTCCAGATTCAAAAGGATCCGGACAGACTATGGAAATGGGCAGGAGACAACAGGATGGCGTTCAGTGTGGATAAGTGAAAGGTCTTGCACTTGGGGCATAGGAATAGGTGTCCTAAGTACAGGTTAGGGGACAAGTGGCTGGAGAGCAGCACTTGTGAAAGGGACCTCGGGGTGCTGGTGGACTGCAGGCTAAATATGAGTCAGCCATGTGATGCAGTGGTCAAGAGGGCAAACGCCACCCTTGGTTGCATAGCCAGAAGTGTGGCTTCTAGATCAAGAGAAGTATTACTACCACTCTATACGACTCTGGTGCACCCGCAACTGGAGTATTGTGCTCAGTTTTGGGCCCCTCATTACAGGAAGGATATAGCCAGGTTAGAGTCAGTGCGGCGTAGGGCCACAAGGTTGGTGGCCAGTTTGCAGGGGATGGGGTATGAGGCGACATTGAGGGAACTGGGTCTCTTCAGCCTGGAGGAGACTCAGAGGGGATCTGTTGGTGACATACAGGTATGTGAGGGGGTGTCACACAGAGGTGGGTAGAGATCTGTTCTCCCCTGCAGAGGAAGGCAGGACGCGCTCCAACGGAGCAAAGCTCAGGGAACCAAGGTACAAGCTGGATGCCAGGAAGCACCTCCTGACAGTTAGGACCCCGAGGGTGTGGAATGGGCTTCCACGAGAGGTCGTTGAGGCCCCATCGGTGCAGGTGTTCAGAGATAGGCTGGACATGCACATGGTGGGCATGTCATGAGCGGAGCCGGCTGGTGCCGGCGGTCAGACTAGATGGCCCAGGAGACCCCTTCTGACTCGCTATGTTTCTATGTTACAGAAATGAAATGAAATGAATATTTATCAGTGCAAACTGAAATTCCATGTTCAAAATGTCAATGGCAAAAGTGGAGTTTTCTTGGGTAGCCATCCATCATGGCTATGGATCTTAGGTTCCATTGTACTCAGCAAAAGCTTAGTTTCACATCTAGTGGATTCTGCAACATCTCTTTTTCATAAGTGATTGCCTAATTTGCCTAACTGTTGGCAATGCAAAGTAGGTAATGCTTCCTTTAACAATGCTTTAACAGAAGTGAAATGAAATGAGTATTTGACAGTGCAGACTTAAGATAACTGATATGAACTGTGGTGGTAGTATATTGTGTCGAAATATTATTAATCTGACTGGGGTTTTATGACAGACAATCTTCAATGTTTTTTCTTCTTTCTTAAAATTTATGTATTTATTGAATGGAGCTGGTCTTTGACCATAATAAAGTTTTTATCTGTCTATCAGTGCAAAATGAAATTTCACATCCAAATTTGTAAATGGAAAACTAGAAGTTGAGGAACTTTTTAAACATGTGGGAATATCTGGGTCAGCACTGAGAAATATTAAATTTTCACTCATCCATATAGAGCTTTTCAGTAACTTTCTTAAACTATGGATCATGACAAATAACTTAGGTTACAGCATGGGTCCTCAAACTAAGGCCCGGGTGCTGGACTCGGCCCGCCATGCCCATTTATCTAGCCTGCCATGCCCATTTGGACCCACCGTGCCCGCACCCATCGCTGCCCACCTCACCCCATGTGCAGGGAGGCAGCGGTTTGCTCGCTCGGAGAAAACGATCTCCAAGTGAGCAAGCTGCTGCCTCGTGCGCCCGCCTCCCCTCCCCTTGCAGCACGCGCCTGCCCGCCCGCGCCTCGCCTTGCCACGTGCCCCACCCCCACCTCAGCGCCTGTGCCCACACACACTGCCCCCGCCCCCTCACCGGCCCGTGTGTACTACCAGCACCACCTTTCCGGCCCGCGGCTAGCACTGGCACCTTTCAACTGGCCCCCTGCTGAAAAAGCTCGAGGACCCCTGGGTTACAGCAAGGGCCCCCAGTGGTTTTGGACATTTGGAAATTTGAGAAACTATTGTGGATACCACCACAAAATGCCTAATCATTGCAGTCTTCTTAGGTAGCCATCCATCATGGCTATGGGTCTTAGGTTCCATTTTACTCAGCAAAAACTTTGTTTCACATCTAGGGGATTCTGCAACATCTCCTTTTCATAAGCGATTGTCTAATCTGCCTAACTTTTGGCAGTAAAAAGCAGGTAATGCTTCCTTTAAACTTTGCTTTAACAATGCAGGGTAGCTGCTTTTTTTGGAAGTTACTAGACAGTTCACTGATATATTTTATTTATTTATTTATTTATTTATTTAAAGTTTTTATATGCCATCCCCTTGCTATATAGCCTCAGGACAGCTCATACAAATAAATAAATATAATACAAATACAGTTAAAACCTGGAAACACCCTGGTTGAACAATTAAAACCTATAAATATTAAACATTGTTAAAATATTGTTTGAATAAAAAGGTCTTAGCCTGGCGCTGAAAAACAAATAACGACGGCATCAGGCGGACCTCTCTGGGGAGTGCATTCCACAGATGGGGCGCCACTGCAGAGAAGGCCCTCCTCCGGGTACTTTGCCTCCTGATGTCCCTCATGGAAGGCTCCCGGAGGAAGGCCTCTGCTGCTGATCTCAAGGGGCGGGGGGGGGGGGGGTAAATATGGAAAGCTTTTTTACCAGCTTCAAATGAGAGAGCTGGATTCCATACAGAAAGTCCCAGCCTTGAGTTTACAAGAGCTGAACAGGGCCGTCAAGGAAAGATAAATGCTCATGTCCTGGGATGTACTCAATTGAGGAAACACATTCAGTATATGAGAGGGCAGATGCCTCTCATAGAAACTGCCTTCAGATGGATACTTATTTGAATATTTGGCTTGCCTCTGTGTAAGCCAATGTATAATTGCTAGAAAGTTGTATGCATTATGCATGTATTCATTGCTATGGACATATAAAAACTGATGTTCATGCATTAGAAAAATGACCCTTTGAGGCCCATGGGCTTCTTTTGGCTCCCTCTATAGGGTTTGGGAAAATAATATCCTCACAGGGAACTGTGGGAAACGCATATCAGCTCTGGAAATTAATGTTGCGAACTGCTGATGCAGTCAAAACATACAACAGCTGAATAGTAAGAAGCCAATGGAGATGGAGTGAAGCAAAAGCACTCACTGGTTGTTCAACGCTGTGCCATTCAGCCATCTCCAGGGCTTGCCTGCGTCTTTTGAGAGGCCAATCCAGTAATGATGGGTGTAAGTAAACCTCATCAAAAACACCTAGGAAAATGGTTATCAAATTGCAATTTACTTATTTATACAATGCACATTCCCCTATAAGTAATGTTTCTGGTGGCTAACAGTAATGCATTACAGATAAAAATGAATGAAAGTACATAAACATGAAACATAAGCTTGACACAATCATGGAGGTGGAAGTGTTCAGCAGCTCCTTTAAAAGGGCCATCCTGGATCATTTCCAAGTTTTAAGTCCTGATGATGTTGACAGGCTGCCTGGACTGGTGAGACAAACCATCTGCCCTCTCAATCCTTGTCCATTTTGACTGATAGTCCAGAGGGAGGAAGCACTGAGGGAGTTCTTAGACAAGTCTCAAAATACAGTGGTACCTTGGCTCATGAACTTAATCCATTCCGGGACTCTGGTCGTGACTCAAATTGGTTGTGAGTCAAGTTAAATTTCCCCATAAGATTCAATGTAAATAAGGTTAATCTGTTCTGTAACAATTTTTTTAAATCAGAAAAATATAAAGCAAAGTGACAAAGAACAACGAAGATCGTGGCCATCTCCCCACCCCCGCCCCCCGCCCAGAGCACGAGCACGGCCATCTCCCTGCACCTCCAGCACGACTGCGATCGTGCCTGCCATTCCTGCACTTGCCCATCATCCCGGCGTGCTGGTGGGGGGGAGAGATGGGCGCAATTGTGGGCGTGCTTGGGGAGGAAAGACGGGCGTGATCGCAAGTGCTCTGGGGAGGAGAGATGGGTGCAAACGTGGGTGTGCTGGTGGGGAGAGACGGGCACGAACGTGGGCATGCTCAGGGGGGGAGACGGGTACGATCGTGATTGCGCTCATGCAAGGAAGACAGGCACAATCATGAGTGAGCTCGGGCAGGAAAGATGGGTGTGATCTCAGCACTCCCCCCCACCCCCAGCACGATCGCGGCCATCTCCCCACCCCCGAGTGGGGAGATGGCCATGATCGTGGGCGCCACCCAATGTGGAGTTCACGACCTGAGTCAAAATTTTTATGAAATTTTTGTTTGCGACCCGATTTCGTCATGAACTGAGGTGTTTGTGAGCCGAGGTAACACTGTACCATTAAGGTCATCAAGAAGGCAGTGGAGCTCCAGGCAGTCCTGAGTGATACTGATTCCTGGACCCATTTCAAACTGGCTTCAGGGTGGGACATGGAGTTGAGACTGCTTTGCTTACTCTCCTGGATGATCTATGACTCACAACTGACAGTGGGACTGTGTTCCTGCTGGGTGGATTCCTCAGTGGCTGTGGTAATTCTGGATTGTGCGGGGGAGTTGGGAATTGGAGGCACTGCTTTGCAGTGGTTCTGTCACTAACTCTCAGGCTGGTTCCAGACGATGAAGCTTGCTGTTCTTCCAAGGAGGAAATGGCTTGTGGAGTCCCACAGGGCTCCATTCTGTCTCCAGTGCTGTTTAACATCTACATGAAGCCACTGGGATAAATCATCTTGGGGAGGGATGCTGGGTGTCATCAATATGCTGATGACACCCAGATCAATTTCTTCTCCACATCAGTGCTCCCTCTTCTAGAGACAGCATCTCCTCTCTGAATGACTGCCTGGGACTGGTAAGGGGCTGGATGAGGAAAAACACATTCAGTTGAATCCAGACAAAATGGATATGTTTCCTGTTAAAAGTCTGATGCCATGTTAAGAGATATGTCAACTGGTTCTCAATGGGATCACACTCCCCTTGGGAGACCATGTTCACAGTCAGCACAGACAGAAGCCATGGTCAAGAGTCCGCTACCAGCTTTGGCAGATTCATCAGGAGAAGAATGACCGGAAAACAGTAGTGCACGCTATACAGTAGAACAACAGTTGCCCTTTGGTACAACCTGCCTGTGGTTAACTCATTAATTGCAATACATATTTGCTCCTTACCAGCTCCTCTTCGCTATCAAGCATAGCCAAAGATGCGCTGAATGAGGAACAGTTCTCCTTGCTGATGTTCCAATTATTTTCCTGGTCTGACCAATAGTAGCATTTTCCTTCGTACCCAATCCAGCTGTCTGGGCAGGCGGCATCGATAGGTGGAGGAGTGGGTGGGCATGGCGGTGGTTTCCTAACTGGAAAGAAAACAATTTGCTCGCAAGTACACTGTAGCTCTCAGAACAGGAGCTTGGAAAACCTGGGAACTGGCACCTGGAGGTACATTTCTGTGTGGATTGCTAAAAGAGAGCAGGTGGCATCCAGTCATGTGCAATAAGGGGTGAAATACAACTTGCTCTCTCTTCCCTCCCCACTGTAGCCCCTGAAAGTCTGTTGCAAAGGATTGTCCACATGTCTAGTGCAAGTTTTGGGGTCAAGTGGGAGACTACAAGGGGAGAGAAATGCATCCCACTTCCCACTTCCTCTGATGGAAGCAGTTCCATCACCAGAAAAGCATCACTGGATTCCCTCCTCGGTTAAGCTCCTTCACTAAGACTGCAAATGTCAGGATTCTCTGGGAAAGCTATGACAATTAAATCTAGGTCTCCCTCTCTCCCTCTCAATTGTTCTTTCTTTCTCACCCTCCATGTAGGTTTGCAGTGTACATGGATTCTTTGGGTTGGATCCCTAGCTAGTCATACCTAGACCCATAGAAAACAATGGTGCTTAAGTTACTTGTCACTGAGTCTGAGTCTGGTTCCCCTAAAGAACAAGAGAGTCTCTGTCCTGCTGCAGCTTACATTGCTTAGTTTCCTATACAGAGACACACATGGGGGTGGGGGTAGAGCAAGAAAAATTATCACAAGGGCCTGTGATGGCATGGATTTGATCCTTTTGCTTTTCACAGCAACCTGGCCAAAAGCTTTCCCTACTGGTAAGTTAGTGGGATTTAGCAGAGGAGAATTTATTTATAAAAACCCTAGGCCATCCCTCTTTCTTTTCGAGTGTGCAGCATTATTAACTTTTATTTACTGCAGCACAAAGTATTTAAAACTTTTGTACCCTGTCCTATACCTAGAAGTCTCAGGGTGGTCCAACAACAAAGGCACTGCATAATATCTATAATAAAAACCCAACTAAAACAAATAAATATTAAAATAATGAGAAAATAAAAAGGGGTTGGCCTGATGCTGAAAAGAATAAAGAATATAACTGAATTTAAATCAAAGACCTGGGGGACGGGGTAAAGTAAAAACATACATTTCTCCTCACTCACCAGCCAATGCAATTATAGTAATTGTCATAATCGTGAAGACAACAGTTGCTGCTATTGGGTATTTTTGGTCTGCAATGCACTTTGGGACAAAGCCTGAAAAACATAAGCATAAGAGTCTGAGTAAATGAAGATCATGGGAAGCAATCAGCTGATTTGCACAAGATACTTTCTAGACCATTGTGCAGTTTACACACAGTGATAATTAGGGCTCTGGATCCTTATCAGAAGATCCTATGGACACTCTGTGCATCACACACTTTCCTCTCTGCAGCACAAAGGACATCGTGCAGGAAGGACAGGAAAAACCGTGGTGCAGCAAAACAGCCTCCCACAACCTGCTGCCCTCCCCAAATGTCCTGGACTACAGAACCCAGCATGCCTAGCTGAGGGGTGCCAGGAGCTGCATTCTAACACTCCTGCTGGGCAACAGGCTGAGGGAGGCTGCACCGAAGGAAAACCACAGTCACCTAGGTGCGTGTTTGGGAAGCACATTCACCTCGGGATGGCCTGCAGGGGAGAGCTCAACAGTAGGTCTTTGTGGAGACTCACACACCCTTCCTCCACACTCCTTTTTTCTCTCCGTGTGCAGAGAAGGATTCCCAGAAAAGGACTGCCCCCGAAGCTGTGGGACTAAAGCCTGCCAAACTCCTCCCGGGACCTTCCTCGGGGAAAAAACTATTAGTGCAGGCCCTGGCAGAGGTGAAAAGCCCTAGCTTCTCCCATCACAGTTTGTTTCCAAGCCGAGGCTTTACAGTACACGTTGCACTGCCTCCCTTTGCCTTTTGTGATCCCTGCTGCCTTCACAACCCCTGTCCAGGGCCTCCTTCTGCTCCCTTGTTTTATAAACATCGGTCTTCACCATTTCCTGCCCACTACATCCTAGGACTGCTTCTTACTAGTGCTTCTTAGCCACAGCTTTGCAAACACAGGAACAGCTGATATTATCAAAGTAATCATACTGTATTTCTGAGTGGATTCACTGAGGCTTTCCGCTCCCCCACACCCGTTAACACCCAGCAACAGATCTACCACAGAACTATGAGGACTGCCTAAGCTCAGTTTAGGCAGAGAAAAGTATCAAAACTCAAAGTTGACGATTTGGGCTAATTCAGTTCCTCTCCAAAGTCTAGCAATGCTTCTCACTTACAACAGGCGCAGCTGACTTGTGTTCCTACAGGTGTTTTGCCCCACAACTCCCATCAGCTCTAGCGAGCATAGCCAATCATGAAGGATGATGGGGTGGAGGCCAAAACATCTGGAGGGCCACCTTGATCTATAATCCAAAGGTGAGAGTGTTGGACTGGGACTCATGAGATCCTGGTCCAAGCCCTGTTTTTTTTCCCATAACAGCACCCCAACTGTGGAATTGAATCCCCCTGGAGAGTAGGCTGGCTTCATCCCTCCATGCCTCAGATGCCAACAAAAAACCTTCCTGTTTTACAATGACTTTGATGGGTGAATTGGTTAGGTCCTTGATGGCTTTGATGGGTTTTTAATCTTAATCTGCTGCTGCCATACTGTGGTTTTCCACAAGACTTTCTAGTTTATGACACTATTTTATTATTTTAATTGGGTTCATATTCATTTGTAATTCCCCATCCCTTCTCATGTTGTTTATCTTACTTTATTATTTATTTTCCTGGTTACTTCATCACATTTTTAATCTTATTTATTTATTTTTATTTATATTGTGATTTATATCCTGCCTTTTTCCTACAAAGGACTCAAGGCAGCTTACATCATTCTCCTCCTCCATCTTATCCCCACAACAAGAACCCTGTGAGGTAGGTTGGGCTGAGAGTCTGTGACTGGCCCAAAGTCACCCAGTTGGCTCCAAG